CTTTCCCTGAGCTCTGTCCTAGGGGGCAGGCCTGGAGGCCCCACAGGGCAGGCGAGGCCCTGCCTGGGACAAGAGTGCTACTCACAGTGAGGAACGGGTGCCTGGTGTTCTGGAGGACCCGGCTCTCGGTGACCGTGTGGGCGACTTCATCCTGCAGATAGAGGCTGGGTGAGGGGCTGGAGGGTCCCACCACATCGGCCACACCCCCCTGCCCAACTTGAGAGATGGGAGAGCAACATCTTGGTGATATCCAATTCCATCCCTAGTCAATACACAGACAGAATGGCAGGAGCAGAATGCTACCATTCACGAGCCCTGATGAAATACCACACCCAGGCAAGCACACTCCGTGGCTCGCTCTCAAAACCATAAGGCGAGAAGCTGATGGTGACTTCACAAGGGAGGATCAGGCTGTCACCACCTGAACCCACGGGCCAATTCTGACATCCTTGCGGGGGTGGGGGGGCGAGCAGACATCTTGAGACCCCTAAGGTGACGCCACAGGCCACGGGAATCACCACCTATAAATGTTCTTGAAGGACCTGGATCTAATCAGGACACTAGGCTGTGAGCAGTGGTTCTCCACGTGTGGTCCCCACACTGGCAGCATCAGCGCCGCCTGGGAACTTGGAAAAATGCAAATTATTGGGCCCCCTCCTCGGACCCATGAATCAGAAGCTCAGGGGGCGGGCCCAGCACAGCATCACAGGCCCTCTCCTCCCAGGACTCTAACATGGGCTTGAGTTTGGTATCTGAGTGCACGGCAGTAGCCCAGAGAGCTGCAGTGCCCAGACACTGGCTCTCCACGGGGCAAGTCTGTCTCCACAGGATAATGTAATAACGTCAGCAGTAACGTCAAAGAACATTTCTAACTGTCACAACTCGGGGGTGGAGGGGTGCCCTGGTAGAGGCCAGGGGTGCTGCTACATGTCCCACAGTGCACAAGACTGCCCCACAGCAGAGAATGGTCTGGTCCAAATGTCAGTGCTGAGGCTGAGAAACCCTGCCGTGGACCGATGACACCAGGGATTGTTAATTCTGTTGGATATGATCACAGTCCCGTGATTATAGTCTTTAAAATCATCATCTGTTAAAAATACACATATTAGTAGGTATGGCTGAAAATCTGTGATGTCTAGGACATGCCTTAGAGTACTCCAGAACAACAAACGAGCAGGGCAGAGGTAATGAAACAAGACTGGCCAAACGTTAGTTAATGTTGAAGCTGATGACTGCTAAATCGGAGTCCATTATATTTATTTTTCTTTAAAAAATTTTATGTACATTAGGAATTTCCTATTTAAAAAACTTTAAATAAGGAAAAAAAGGAATAGAACTCCATTCCTGGCCCAGCCTCCTCCCGAGACACCCTGAGCCAGGCCCCACCCTTGTGGCCTCCCCACAGGCCCTCTGCTGCCACAGGGGCTTCCTTCAGGCCTGACAGCACCTGCTGGGTGAGGCCCCAGTCACACTCCCCCCATCTTCCTTCCTGGTGCCCAGAGGGTGGGGGACTCAGCAGGCAGGGCCCCACTCTCTGGGCCTCAGGCTCCCCTTCTCTGGGGACTCACGGGTTGGGGGACACAGCAGCAGACCCGGGAAGCGGCCCGCCCAGTGCGTGCTCCTGACCGCCATCAGGCTCCGAACTGTGTCCCCCACAGCGGCCAGCCCGCAGCAGCCCTGGGAGGGCCCACCTTAGCGATGATAACCTCCTTCCGCAAGATCTTCATGGCATAGTAGCGGCCACTGGCCTTCTCCCGCACCAGGATGACTTTGCCAAAGGTGCCCTTGCCCAGGAGCTTGAGATAGTCGAAGTCATTCATGGTCTGCCCGGGATGGGGAGAGAGTCAGACAGTCAGTGTTTGGCACATGGCCCATGGGAAGAAATTTTAACAAAGAAAAGAGAAAAATCAAAGGACACTATTGCCAAAATGCTCAGGCAGGAGCAGGAAGGGAGGCTCCGGGCAGCAACTGTTTGTTCTGAAGTGGCCTTCAGACCAAGGTTCTCCCACCATTCGGCTCTCCCAGGGACGGGGCCCTGGGAGGCTGAGCCTAGGGTTCTGACATGGGGGTAGACGGGTCTTCACAGCCCCCTGGGATAAGGCTGCCCCTCACCCTGTGGGCCCAGAGCAGCACCGGGGCATCTACAACCAGAAATCACCCAGTCTACAGGGCAGTCATGAAGTGTCCTGGCTGGGCCCGTGCTCTCGGTATGGAAATCAAGGGCGGCAGGGCCAGGGTTGAGAGGGAGAGGGGTGCTCACAGACTGGCAGGCCCCAAGTGCTGGCCACCTGCCTTCCCAGCACTTACCACCTTGGCCCGCGCCTTGCTAACTGCCACTTCCATCTCCTCGGCTGCAGAAGAGTCGCTGGGGGAGCCACACTTGTAGTCCATGGGATCCTCACCTGGGCCCCGCTGCTTGAGGCTGTTGGCAACCATCTGGATGGCCTGCATCCACTCCTCCCTGTGCGGGGACACATCCAGGGAGCTAAGAGTCCTGGGGCGCCTGTGCCTCGGGGCAGGAAAGGCCGAGCCCCATGCCCCACGATGGAAGAGCAAATGGCCAAACACCTTTGGGCATTTTGTTGAGATGTGTCTGACCTAGTGGAGCTGGAGGGACCAGACTGAAATTTGACAGACCCTCTGGCTGTGGTGGGTGGGAGAGGGCAATAGCAGAATAAGGACAGAGACCATCTGTGTCCCAGAAGGGGCCTGACCTGAGGGCCACTTGAAGTCAGGCAGCAATTACGTGACTAGAGGAGAGACTGCCTTTTCTTCACAGCCCCTTGAAAATAAGCCACCACCCTGAACCCTGAATGAGAGACAGTGCTCCTCTGAGCCCCTCAGAACGAATGACAAGCTCACGTGTGCAAGTGACCAGTGTTCTGCAAAAGAGAATCAAGAGCAGAAGGAGGCATTCATTAGCCAAAAAAGCTGCAGATCTTACAAAGCAAGAGGTGACCGACATGACCCCCTGGAGGTGCCCGTCTGCTGGGAGGACAGGTCAGGTACCATCCTGGTGGGACAGGGACAGGTCAGGGACCATCCTGGTGGGGCAGGGACCGGGGAGAGAAGGTGGCGGACACGGAAGCAGGTCCCAGCAGAAGGCAGACGGGTTTAAGAACAACACACTAGGTTCTGTCACTCATGATTTAGAACTTGCTGGGAAAGAATTTTCTTTTGATACTTGCAAAAGTTCTTTCTGTAGAGGGAAAATGCATCTAGGAGAAAAAAGTAAAGAAGACCACACACCAAAAAGGAAAAAATATGAAGCTGAACGATACTAAATTGTCCACACCTCTCCATTATTTGGGACCCACCACACAATTTTAGGTGGCTGAGCCCAATATTTGTTGAACCCCCTATGGATTTTGCTTAGGTCTATAAAAGCCACGTGAACAGTTCTGGCTGAGCTCCGTGCCTCGCTGAGCAAAGCAGCAACCCAGCCGACAGGTCCCAGCCCACACCTAGAAGCTCTGCCTGTCCAAGTGGCCTCACTCACATGAGATCACGCTTCCTAAGACAGATGCATGTGTACCATGAGCGCAAATATCAGGTGCTGGCACACCAGCCCTCCCCAAGCCTAAGCAGAGCCTGAGGGCCCCATAAGCCACATATGTCCACACCCTCTCACGAGGCCAGGGATTTGGTCTGTTCATACATGGTGTGAGCCAGCACCCCGGCGGGTACTCGGTAAGCATCTGGGGAGTGACTGGCAACCCAAACCCCGAGTGGCCCCAAGCCCAGCGCACACCCAGGCAGAGCAGCGCGAGCCTCTTCCCTCCTTGACCCACTGCCTCAGGCTGGCATCTCTCAACGCGTTTTACCCAGGCCCTGTTTGGAACAAATAACAGTACAAATCCCTATCCCTACATTAATATTCCTGTTTTTCAAAAAAAATAGGGGTAGGGGGAGCATATCCTGTGATAGGCTTTATCCGATCATAACTGTCCTCTTAGAAATTTTAAAATGTTGACTTTGGGTATATGACTGTGGACTGAAAAAAAAAAAAAATCACCGATCTCCTAAGACGTGCTGAATATACTAAAAAGAAAAAAATACGTATATACCTCACATATACAGATCTTGAGGGACTGTCACATAAAAAAAGCAACTTGCAGACCAAGATATGTAGTGTGCTATCATCTTTGTTTGTAAAGGAGAACGCAGTCTATCAACAGGAGCCTGAATGAACAAGAGATTGGAGCTTCCACACCACAGGAGGGAGCATGGGAGGCAGCTCTGTGGGGCCTCTCTGGGCAGCAGAGCTGGTGCTCAGAGCTGGGGCTCAAACAGCAACTCTGCCACCTGGGCAAGCCCAGGCCTCCCAGCTCGCCCCCTCCTTGGTACACTGGGGGCACTGAGACGCTAGTGAGCTGCTGTGTGCAAAGCCTGCACCCAGAGAAAGTGCTTGACTCAAGGACGGGGCTAAAGACACTGGTGAGACCTGGACCCATCCCATCTGGAGCCAGAATCCACAGAGATGCAGGAGGCTGGTCGGGGGTAACTCTCCTGCTGCCCGACAAGCCCCCGATCCTGTTCCAACTGGACCGAGGTGGCAAGGTTGCAGCACTCAGAATTGCAGAGAAAAAGCAAGGGCCTCCGTCCAGGATACTCCCCAAGGGTTTGCAACATGGTGTCTGGGGCAGAGGGGAGCTCCTACCCAGGGCCAGGGCTGACGTGCCTTCCAACCCTCAAAGTAGAGCCCCCAGGGGAAAGAGCCTCCTGCCCCGAGGGACACGCAGAGAAAAATAATGCACACCACCGCATTCCATGCTCCTCAACAGGGCTGGAGGGGGAGGGGCCGTGCTTCTGATGAGAAAACTGAGGCGCATGGAAATGGAGTCACCTGCGGAGGTCACGAGGCTAGGAGGCAGCGGAGCTGAGCCCCGTGCCTGGGCTCCCCCCGGCCCTGGCACCACACTGCCTGCCCTGATGAGCTGCAGCTTCCTCCCAAACCAGGCCCACCAGGCCCCGGAGGAGCAAGCAGGGCAAGCTCGCGGGAAGGCTCAGTGAATAAGGGCCACCGTGCCGAGGAGCCCAGAAGCAGGTGAAGGAAAAGCCGCCTGTCAGGAGTCCTGCCCCTTCCCGGAGGCAACACCGGGCAGGCCACTTGACCTTCCGGTGCCTCAGTGGGCTGACACGTGGAGCGGGGACCAGAGGGTCGTGTGAGGGAGCACACGATACAAAGCGCTCAGGACAGTGCCAGGCACAGAGTAAACACCTCGAAGGGTTATGAGAATTCACCCAGCCAGCCTGCAAATCCCTCCCGAGTGTCTTCTACGTGCCAGGCCTTGTTCTGGGTGCTGAGGGTGCAGCAGGGAACAAGCCCCACTGGAGCTCCAGGCCTAAGGGAGAAGACAAGTATGTCAGGGCTCCAAGGCAGGGGCTGGAGAGGAAGCCCCTTCTCAGAGGGTGGTCAGGGAAGGCCGCTCTGAGGAGGTGGCACGTAAGCCGGGATCTGGAAGACACCCCTGGAACGTGGGACATCCCCAGTGCCAAGAACAGGGACTTAGCTGTGAAATAAATGAAATGGGGGGAAGGAGGTAGGCCTTCAAAGTGCCAGGAGGGAAAAGAATACAGGCAGAGTGACCGGCGTGGCCAAGGACCCGAGGAGGGAGCCTGGGGTGTCTGTGGAAGGCACAGCAGGGGCCAGCACGTCTGGAGCCAACAGAGAGAGAGGAATGGAAGGGATGAGGGTAGGAGGGAGGACAGGCCACACCCAGCTCCACAAGCCACTGTGTGAGGGATTTATGTCTTGATCCTTAACATCACAGGAAGTCCTGGAAGGGTTTATCAGCGGGGTGACAGGATCTGATTTCGGCTTTAAGTAGGCAGCTGCTGTGTGGGGTACGGACTGGGAATCGAGACAGGAAGCAAGAGAGGCTATGGTAGTACCGAGGCAAAAGGAGCCAGTGCCACAGGAGACGGAGGAGGAAAAAGGCAGCAACAAGTGCGATTCCATGGGGCACCCAGGCCAGGCGCATCCACAACCATGTCCTCTTCGTCCCTCACGACAGCCAGGGAACTGAGCCCCGCTGCGAAAGTGGCACGGTGGCTGGTCTGACTCCAGACCCTGGGCCCCAGCCCTGGGCTACCCTGCTGAGCAGAACGAACTGCACCCTGGAGGGAAGCTCGGTGAACTGGAGGTGGCCGAGCTGTCCTTAGTGCACAGGCCTGTCCTCGTCACAGCCTCAGAAATAACAGCTGACTGCTGGTCTAGTGGCAGATGGGGACCTCTCTCCCTAACAAGGGCCTTCCTCTGAACCAGAGCGGTGTTCACAGCTGGAGGGCATCTGGGGTCTCCCTCTGTTCAGACACTCTCAGATGGGCTGACTTGGCTGACCCAGGTCCAGCCCTGCCTGGTAGGGAAAACCCAGGCCCCTCAGATCATCTTTCTTTTACTCTGCAACTCTCTGTGCCTCAGCTTCACCATCATTATGCCTCTTTAGCAGGTGAGGAACTCCCTCCTAGAAATGTTGTGAGGATAAATGAGTTAATACATGTAAAGACCTTAGAGTAAGGTCTGGCTCAACAGAGCATTCGTTCTAATTATTCTTTTATTCATTCAACAAACATTTACTGAAGACGTAGTTATATTCCCGGCACAAATAAATAAATAGGAAATGTCAGGAATTCCCTGGTGGTCCAGTGGTTAGGACTCCACGCTTCTACTGCAGGCCCCTGCAGGGCACGGGCTCGATCCCTGGTTGGGGAACTAGGATCCCGCCAGCTGTACTGCATGGCCGAAAAAAAAAAGAGGAAAAAAAGAAAATGTCACACCAGGTAGGGTAGGTGCTACGAAGAAAAATAAAGCAGGGTAAAGGTAACAGTCATGGAAGGCAGAGCAGGACACTCTGAGAAGGTGGCATTTGAGCAGAGACCTCACAAAGTTAGAAAGAGAACTGTAATGATATCTGGGGGAAGAGGATTCTAAGCAAAGGAAACAGCAAGTGCGAAGGTCCTGAGGTAGGAAGTGTGCTTGGCATGTTTAAGGAACACCATGGAGACCAGGGTGGCTGAAGTTGAGGGAATTGGTGGTAGGAAATGATTCTGGAGAGGAGGCCAGATCACGTAGGACTTTGTAGAGCAGAGCATCGACTTTGGAGTTTACTCCAAAAGTGGAACTAAAAGCCACTAAGAGTCCTAAACAGAGAAATTACAAGGTAAGATTTACATTAAAAAGATCACACTAATGTGATGCACTATTAAGTATACCTGCCAAGACCAAGGGTCTGCAAACTTCTCCTGGAAAGGGCCAAATAATAAATATTTTAGGCCTTGCAGATCACACAGTGCCTGTCACAGCTTGGTCACTACTCAATTCTGCCACAGGACAGCAAAAGCAGTCATAGATAATTGGTAAATAAATGGGTGTGTTATGTTCCAATAAAACTTTATTTATAAAAATAGGAGGCCAGGGACTTCCCTGGTGGCACGGGTTCAAGCCCTGGTCCAGGAAGATCCCACATGCCGTGGGGCAACTAAGGCCGTGTGCCACAACTACTGAGCCTGCGCTCTAAAGCCTGCGAGCCACAACTCCTGAGCCCACGTGCCACAACTACTGAAGCCCGTGCTCCTAGAGCCCATGCTCCACAAGAGAAGCCACCGCAATGAGAAGCCCGCACACCGCAATGAAGAGTAGCCGCCACTTGCCACAACTAGAGAAAGCCCGTGCACAGCAACAAAGACCCAATCCAGCCAAAAATAAATTAATTAATTTAAAAAAAAAAAAAAAAAAGGAGGCCAGGCAATAGTTTGCCAACCTTGCTTCAGACCTTATTTCTGGTTTACAGGAAATACAGGCACAGAGGAACAAAGAAAACAGTGCCAAAAAGCAAAAATAAGACACATCCAGAGTATGCGACATCCTACAAGACAACTAGTCTGGCTTGTCAAAAAAAAAAATTAATGTCATGGTCGGGGAAGAAAGACAAAGGCTGAACTAGATTAAAATAGGCCAGAGACAACATGTACCTTGGTTTTTCAAATCCTGGTCTGAAAAACAACATTTTGAGGACAACTGGGGAAATTCAACTACGGCACACAGATCTAGAGAGGATGTTAGTAAATACATATTATCAATGATCATCTCAGGCATGATAAGGGCACCAGGATTCTGTAGAAGAAAGTCCTTATTCTTAGGAGATGCCTGCTGATGTATTAAGGAGAAACGTGTCACAAGGTATGAACAGAAGTTCAAGATACAGCATAAAACACAGCCAGGGGGGCTTCCTAGGTGGCGCAGTGGTTGAGAGTCCACCTGCCGATGCAGGGGACAAGGGTTCGTGCCCCGGTCCAGGAAGATCCCACATGCCGCGGAGCGGCTGGGCCCGTGAGCCATGGCCGCTGAGCCTGCGCGTCCGGAGCCTGTGCTCCGCAACGGGAGAGGCCACAACAGTGAGAGGCCCGCGTACTGCAAAAAAAAAACCAACACAGCCAGATGAGGCAAACATGGCAGATGTTGAATTGCTGAACCTAGGTGCAGGGTATCTAGCTGCTCATTTACGATACTGTTCTTTCAACTGTTCTGTCCACCCGAAACAACAAGTTGGGGCAGGGAGTAGGGGAATCGCTCTAGGTGCCCTGGGGAGAGCCGACTGGGGAAGGAAGTGAGCAGGCCGCTGCAGCATCCAGGCAACCACCAGCCACCAGCGTGGCCCCTGTCGGTCCTCACCCTGCCCCCACCCTCCCCAGGCTCAGGCCTGGGCAGGGCAGTGAGGACAGCCACGAGCAGAGCAGCCTCCCTCTTCTGGGTTTCTGGCTCACACCTTCCCTGGGGTTAAGGTCAGCAATCTGGGGTTTGGTCTCAGAGCAATCCTATCAGATTTCTTTCTAGTGGCAGTGGCAGGTACAAAGAGAAGGAGGAAGCTGGGGGCTCTCTAGCCGGCACAGTCTTAGTAAAGGGATTCTTCCCCACGCCAAAGAGCATGGTATCTTCCTATAATGGAAACTACAGCAGGTCTCTTGCCTACGAAAACGTTTTGCCAGCTCCCCACTGCTTCTTCTCCAGGCTTGCGAAGTGTGTGCCAGGTACTGCTGAGTCAAGGGCTTCCTGTTTATCATCCCCCTGAATCTTTTAGCAGCCCTGTGACAAACCCCAATTGATTCACTGCTTGCCAAGCCCTGTGGGGACCTCCATCTGGAGTCCAGGCGCCAGCTGAGCTTGCCAGCTTCAAGGCCTCCACTTCCCCTCTTCCAAGACCCCTGGCCCTTGATTCTTTAGTGATGCTTAACCCTCTTGTCCCTGGAATGACAAGCTGCCTCGCCTCCAGGCCTTTTCACATGCTGGTCCCTTTTCCTGAAGCCACCTTCTTCTTCCTATCTCCATGGCCAACTCCTACCCATTCCTCAAAACTCAGCCCAACCCCTAGACCCTATGCACCTACCGGTCTCAATTTGCTTTTACTGGCAGTCCATGTTTCTGTGCCCAGTTTTCATCTGAGTAACACCTCAGCTGGCCTGCGATGGTCACCCTGTTCCCCATGGTGGGGCAGGTATATTTTTAATCTTGAGAAGCTTTGCAATGACAATTACAGTATAGATTACAGTAATATGTCTTACGATACTCTTTTGTGTATGCTCTAGAAATGCACTGTCCATAAAGGTAGTCACTAGCCAAATGGAGCTATTGAAAAATTTAAGATAATTAAATAAAATACAAAATTCCATTTTCAGTCTCATTAGCCACATTTCACATTTCAAATGCTCAACAGGCACATGTGAGTAGTGGCTACCCTCTTGGACACCACAGCTGTTGAACATTTCTATCATGGCAGAGACTTCTCTTGGATGGCACTGTTTTAGGTTTCTCCAGAGGATCAGCTGAATCCTCACCCCACAGACAAGCTAAAGGAATATTTCTCAAAGTGAAGGCCAAAGGGACAAAGTGAGGGAAAAATATTTGCCACACATTACAAAGATCTAAGCTCTCTTATAAAGAGCTTTCAGAAATGAATAAGCAAAAGACCAAGTACCCAAAAGAAAAAGAGACAAAGGATATGAACAGACAGTTCAGAAAGGGAAACTCACATGGCCCCTGAACACACGAAAGGACACTCAAACTCACCAAACGTTTGGTAAAAATCCAAGCGTTTGAAAACACAAGGCTGTGAGGACACTCTTAGACATGGCCTAAAAGAAGCATTTCTCAAAATTACAAATGCATATTCCCCTGTGACCCAGCAATCCCACATCTAAGAATTCATCTTACAGATTTAACTATAAGTATGTCGAACAAGATAAGCACAAGGTACTGCTTATCTAATTATTGCTTATGTAATTATAACTATCTCATTATTCTAATGAGCCCAAAAGGCTGAAGCAACCCCAGTCACCATGAATAAAGAACTGTTAAACAAACTCGGGAACACAGACGTGCAGCTGTTAAAAAAAAAATGCAGCAGCAGCAACTCTATATATACTGAAATAGAGAGAGTCCCCAACATACATTAAATAAAAAGCAAGTTCAGAACAGTTTGGGTACAAGGCCACCTTTTGTGTAAAAAGAAAGAACAAGGGGAGCAGGGCACCGAAGTCCTATCTGAGTGAGCGTGTCTGCGTTCCCGGTGAGGAAGCTCTCGCTCGATACATAAGAACAGCAGTTAACTTGCGGGGCAGGGATGGGGGGTGTTACGGGGCTGCAGTGACAGTGAAGCTTTCACTAGACACCTCCTTCTGCTGTTTGATTTCTCAACTAGGTGAATCTGTATCTCTTCTGATTATTAAATTGATCTTTTAAAGAGCTGAGTTTCTAGACCACCTGCCTCGAAATTAATGGAGATGCTAATTAAAAATGCAGCTCCCTGACCCTCTGCAGATCTCTAGACAATCAGAGGCCCCGAAGTGGCCCAGAGTGCCTCACTGTTAACAAGCCCCCCCACGATTCCAATGCAGCCCCCAGTCTGAGGACACGGGGCGGTGTGGACAGGAGTCTGTGGGCTGAGAAGCCCTGCATGTCCTAGCTGGCAAAAGGGCTGAGATGGGAAACTCCTGAGGAGGGGCTCAGGGCAATCTATCCATCTGCACCCCTTCTCCTCACACAGAGCCTGGCCACTCTCAAAGGGCCGCCACACAGAGGCCCAGACTTGCCTCTCATCCGGAGAGTCTACATGGAAGGTCCTCTCGATGACTGTGGTCCACTGCAGGCAGCGTATGACGAAGGTGTTGGGCCGCGGTCTCTCGGTCTTCATCAGCTGGCATTCTGCAGAAGAGGGATATGAGCAGGGAGGGTAAAGCGACAGCCCTGCCAGTCTACACCCCACATTCCCCAAACCACCTCCTGTGTGCCAGCCCCATGGCACTTTAGTGACCGAGACAGCCCTGGCCTTGCCCCGCTGGGCTCAAGGTCCAGTGTGCATATGTGGAAGGGAGACAGCCCTTCCAGTGATGGCTCAGTGGTCAGGGCTGTGACTGGGGTGGGGAGCCTAAGAGGCAGCCAACCCAGTCCAGGGGCTCAGGAGGCTTTCCCTGAGGAAGGGGCGTCTCTGCATTGAGCTCTGAAGGCAGAAGGGTGCGTTGTATACAGAAGCCTAGAGGTGAGAGAGGGCCCAGCTTACTTAGGGAAGAGCAAATTCCTTGTGAGGCGGGGAGAAGTGAGAGACAGGCTGGAGAGGTGAGCAGAGGCCAGCCTGCGGGACTCAGGGGGCATGGCGAGGAATCTGGACTTTGTCTTGAGGGCAGCAGGCAGCCAAGGAAGGCTTTAAATAGGGAAGGGACATGAACAGATTTAGACAGATCCCTCTGGCTGCCGTGTAGAGGGTGAGAGAGAATGGAGGCCGGGAGCCCAGGAGGCTGGGGCCACACCAGAGTGGGGCAGGGGAGGGGAGGCAAAGACAGGTAGATGGGCCACAGAGGAGGTACAGAGAGGCATCTGGGATGACGCCCTGGCCTCTGGCCTGAGGATGAGGGGGCAACAGGGCCCTCCCAGAGAAGGAGATGGGGAGTAGAAGGTTGGGAAGGGAGAGGAGACCCAAAGGCCAGTTTGGGACACGCTGGGTATCCCACAGTGGGCATCCCAGGGAGAAACATGCAGGAAGCTCCTTGGCACAGGTGGGGAGAGTTCAGGAGGGAAGCCAGGGCTAGAGACAGCCACGTGGGGGTCACGAGCACACAGGAAAGCCACCAGGACAAGGCTTTAAGCAGGACAGAGAGGGGCGTGGGGCTGGATTGCAGAGCGAGCAGGTGGGGTGGCCTTGAGAGGCGAGGCTGGGGAAGAGGCTAGAGCAGGGAGCTAGTGGGGAGGGGACAGTGGTCTGGGCTATAAGGTGGCGGTGGAGGTGAGTATCTCTGAAATGTTCTAAGGAGGTGGGACAAGGATGTGGTGACCAATCAGGTCAGCGGGGAAGGAAGGTGGCAGCGGGCTGAGGGCAGGTTCTGTGAGGCCCAGGCAAGGGCTTTGCACCGGCCAAGCTTTCACTGGTCAGTGTCTGGCAAGAAGGCACCACTTCGGGTACCACAGAGGGGACAGAAGGCCAGAAAATGCCCCAGCTTCTCTCTTCTTCCTGCTCTCCACTGCTGACCAATACACCCCCCAGGCCCAGTAACACAGAGGTAGAGCAGGGAAAGGGTGGGAAATAGATCTGAGGGCAAACAGGCCCCAGACAGGCCCACAGCCCAAGAATGATCAAGCCCCACATGTCCCCAATACCTGCCAGCCGTTCTCTGAGCCCCTGAGACACACCTGCAACAGAGAAGTTGTTTAAGGGGGGCAGGGTCTGGTCGGGGGCCTCGGGCCGCTCCTTATATCCAATGAAGGAGCCGTCGCTCTTC